GGATCTACCTGGAAGAAGTTTTGGTTAGTCTCTGCTCAGAAAGAATCAATGAATCCCAAAGACACCTATCCTGTATCCTTTTTGAGCAGTTAAAGCGCCTTGAGTCTGAACAAGGGCCTTTTTGGGCAGTCGCTGGTTCAGTTGGTTTGAGAACATGATGGCTCAGCAGCGAGCACCAGCCTACCAAAATGATTCGAGAACAAGACCTTAGGCAGGCAAAGAAAAGGGCAGAGGAAAAGACAAGGCAGCTGGAGCCTGGCTCCTGAGCTCCTGAATGACAGGACCAGGGCCATAGAATACAACATCAGTTGCCCAGAAAGGAGTTTTTGGAAACACGAGCTTGTAGAGATGCTGCACAACTTTCTGAAGAATGATATGGCACCCATAGCTGCAAAAACAGGGAAGAAGAAACATGCCGACCGTTCTTGCATCAAAAGAGCCTTCAGTTCTGTCCTCAAAGACTCCTTCATTTCAAACCAAAAGGAGTTACCAAATCCCTTCTGTGAGCTGCGTATCTTGGGATCTTGCGGGAGTTGTTCCTCCGGGAGTTGTTCCTCCGTTTCGCAGTTTGAGGCTCTATGTCTCAGCCAATGAGGACATGTTGTCTCAACTTCCTTCTTCTGTAGCGTGGGGCATGGGGCATGCTCCCAAAAAGGGAGGCACTTGGCATGGATGCTCAGTGGACATTCCACGGTTGACTCAGGTATGTCTCCCTGCTTGTCACTGCCTGTGGCTATGAGAGAGAGGCAGCATTGGTTGTTGGCTGAGTTTTGTGTGTTTGAGGAATCATGTCTCAGGACGGGTACACTGCCACTGCTATAGAAAGTGTTCCATTGCTGCAGTCTGGAGTCATCAGCACATCTTCTCATGCCCATCCGCTAGAACCTACTATAAGCTGTGTACTAGTCACTAGATGTGTTCAATTGTTTTGATGGTTGAAGATCATTCTCTCGGTCTGGCACTTCTAGCCGGCACCCCACGCCAGCGTTTTGCTTTGAAATATCGATTGTCGACAATCCAAGCCCATTCAGAACATCTCAACCACCCAGCTATGCAAGTTCCGCAAGTAGCCTGCGTTCCGAAAGAACGTCGTTTGAAGGCCAGCGGACGGCGTCCACACATGCGCCGTGAAGGTTCCAGGGCTTGGCGGTTGGCTGCATCGGGTGGGTTGGCTGGGTGTGAAATTTGTTAGGTCACTTCTTTTAAAAAAATATACAATATTATACAATGTGGAAAGGGATATTGATATTAATATAAAGTTTAGAGAAAGGGTTAGTGTGTCCTTCTTCAGGGAAACTTAAGGCTTGAACAGCATCCACCGCCACTAAGTTGCTCGTACCAGACATGGGTTCAAGATCGTTCATGTGCTCGTGAGCTTGGCCCCATGTAGATGGCAATCCCTGAGGGCCCTTACGTTGTCTCCCATATATAATATATAAATAGGTTAAAATACAGTTAGATACAATTAGCATCATCTAGAGAAAGTTTGATGATCAAATGTGGAAAGACATAATTATCCCTACTCATGTTCTTTCCATACCGACCCAGCCATTTGGTTTGGGGTGTTCAACGTGGGTAGATTTGTCAGTGGCCAGTGGAGTGGATATTCAATGTCGGTGACACAAGGGATAACCCAGCGGGAAGAGAAGCGAAAGCAGTCCCAGAAATGCTGATGTGATCGTCGACCATTTTGTTGTGACACTTCTGATGTGATTAGTTTGAGAGAGAAATTGTGATTTATGGAAGCAAGGACGCTACTAGGGGCTCCTGGCCTTACTAGGAGTATGCATGCTACTAGTAACAAGTGCATCGCTACTAGGAACAAGTGTCACTCTGTTGGGAAGCGGAAGTGAGCCGGTCGGCCGAGCCCGGACGAGCCTTCGCCAGGCGCCGGGGTCCTCGGTACAGGGCTCGCCGCTGGGCCCAAGGTCGGAGGGGTGGCACCGGAGGTGGTCCCGCCTTCGAAGCTCCCAAGTTCCACAAGAAGCAATAGCGTCTTTGCTCCGTTCGTAGCGATGCCAGGAGCCCCTAGTAGCTTCTTGTTCCTATCTAAGATGATCTAATTGCACTATATTGCACTCAAATGTGAGCAAAGGAGATCAGGCACCACTGATGCCGTGGTCAGAAGACATGCAAACTCAACCTCAAGCTAGTTCTCACAAGAGCCTTTCATGACATTCCAATGCTGTTTCCACTTGCTGTTGGCATCTTGGTCTACAAGATTATGTCTTGGTCTGCAAGATTATGTCTTGGAATTGTTGGAAATCTATTGGAGCAGGCAAGGCATGAGTCGATTGGAAACTTCATGTGACCACCCACGTAATCTGTGTCACTTCATTGAGGGAGGGCGCACCTGCCAACTAATTTGTGGCTCAACTTGGGAGATGACAAAACCCAGAGAAAGACATGGTGAAGTACGGAACATAGAAACTTGACATATTACTGTCGTATCGGGAAAAATATACGGATACATAAATTGCTCGAGGGCTGCCTCAGAGATTCGAAACATGCAAAACTGATAGGGGCCGACCCTCTGACCAATACCTCTTTGTACAGCCATGGTACCTCATGCCTGCAGTCCCATGTCAATCAACCGCTATTATGATGAGTATAGCACAAATCTCCGAGAGTAATGTAGTTGGAACAGGAAAAAGAGCCTTGTGACGCAGAGTGAATGGGCAGTTGGTGTGAGGGGTTGACCAGGGAGTTGACTCCAACAATTTATTGTGTTTGAAATAGAATACTTCCATCCCCCTATTAAGACCTTGAATTTGTTATCTAGAGAGAGGGCATCCAAGGTGTGAGACATGTGTTGGAGCTGCACAACATGGCATGGCATAGCATACACATAGGCCATCACAAGACTTCATATCCCTATGTTCGCTACGAACGGAGCACTTCGGGCATCGCTACGAACGGAGCAATCGGACGCTACGAAGCATCAGCTCCTGGCATCGCTAGGAGCGGAGCTTGCTACGAACGGAACAAGATGCCAGAGTCGGAACAGCTCTCTCCCTCCCTCTCTGTTTCCACGGAAGCCGTTCGTCCCACACTCTAGGCCCGGACAATCCGGGTCCTCGCCGAGAGCGGATCCACCGAGGATCTCGAGACTCGTCACTATCACGTAGACCCGAAGGGTCAGGCAATCTTCTGGCAGGAGGAGGACCGTTCGGTTTCGCTTGAGGTTTAGGTTTCATGGTATTGCTTCTTTGGGGATCTTTGGGGCACCCCTTCTTGGAAGAGTCCAAGAACATGTCTTCGACGTGTCCAAAATTCCTAGTCAGATTTCCTGCAGATCCCCATTTGGTGCATGCTTGGCGAATTAGTCATTCCCCCGCAGAGGGAAGGGATCAATCGATCGACCGTAGAATGGGTGAACCTCGGGCCAACGCGCCACTGACGCCGCCAGGACGTGTGCGAGACCTTGTGCCAAGCAGTGGATGCCTGGGACTCTCGGTTTGGGCTGGGCCAAAGTAATGGTCCCGAACTTTGCGTCCGATCACTCCTAGTAGCGATGCCAGGAGCCCCTAGTAGCGTCCGATTGCTCCTAGTAGTAAGGAGCTGGTTTATTTCCACTTGATGAGATGAGCCCAGTCAGGATGACCACTGGGTGCTAGCATTGACCTGATTGAAGTGGGTTGACAAGTCACATTGAGGCATACGGTTATGGCCTCTTTTGACTTGCATTTAGCTTACCCAAGCAAGGCTTGTATAGGCTTGTGGTGTCATTATGTCACCATATGTCATCAAAATGTCCTATCGGGACAGTAACAGCAAGGCGGCCCACAGGAGAAAAAATACACACCGGTCAAGCTCACCGTGGCCATCACACCGGTCAAGATCCCGATGATCCGGCGCAAGCTGCTGACTTCAAGCCGAAATCTCGCTGTGTCAGGTCCGGGTGAGACAAAGTTTAATGCTGAGCGCAGCAAAAAGATCAAAGCAGCTGCCGAGGCTAAGGCTAAGGAAGCCATCCTTGCACAAGACGACGTTGTGCTGGCAAGCAATGAAGCTGCCCCAATCAAGTTGATTTGCAAGTCGGCCTTTGATATGTAATGGGTGACACTAATACAGTGTTATCACTCAGGAAGAAATCACCATGGCGGATATAGTCCCAAGTGCTTGCAGGGTGCACATTAAGGCGGAGATCTGGAACCAGGCCATCCAAGAGGACACATCAGCTCCCTCTGCCCCACGCCAGCGGAGCATCCGGAAAAGCCCAGGTAGAGTTTCACTACGTCAGAAACTGTTGGGCCATGGGACACGTAAGGACGTGTGGCCATGCAGAAGCATCGATGCCAAAGCATATGTGCCGATGCCAACTTCTGCGTCACGGGTTCATTCTGTCAGGGGCAGCTGAGCGACAAGCGACGCAACATCGGGTGTTCTTTGGTGGTCCAGCTGTTGCTGGATTGGGAGAGGAGGGATCAGTTTGTGGTTGCCTTGGAGTCTATCGCAGAAGGGGTTCTGGCTTCAGCGGGAGCGGGTCATGTCAGGTGGAGCCATGTGTCATGTGTGTGGGAGGAAAACCGTCAGGATGTCCAAGCATAGGATCCTAGGACTCTCCCTGACGGACCTAAACTGAGGATCCGAAGGTGAGAACAGAGAGGGTTTCGGGTGCATCCGTGTAGGCTTTGCAGGCTCAACCCGTTTTCACATGCTTATATAAAGCGAATTTGCCAAACAGCTGTGGTCGAGTTCTCCCTGCAAGCATGGAATTTCGTGAGATTGTATCGGTGTGAAGCAACCTCCTTGTTGATAAGAGAGAATCCCTGTCTCCACCCACCTCAGATCTGTCCTTTCAGAATGATGGACCTAGTCACTTAGTCGAATCGATCAGTCCCTAGCACTGACATGTGTTTCTTGTTTTCGGAACCTTTTTTTTTGTCTTCACTTACAAATGCCTCCGGAGGGATTTCTCTATCAGCAGTTCTCGCGTTGTTTGTCCCACGGTGCCCGACAGATCTCTTCGGTGCAGAAGACCTGCGGGGATCTCTCAAATGACACTGGGCGGAGGAATGTGGTGATTCGATGGTTGAGTGCTTGGGTGGAAGGGACCAGCGCAGCGCAACTGGCACTTTCGGACTATGAACTCAGGGGACGGTGGGACGGTGGGTCTGTGGTCATCCCACTGCCACTTGGTTGTGCATGACCTGAGGGCAAATGACGCTCTTCATTTTCAAGAGGGAAAGCATTTTCTCAGGGGGCCATGCCATCCACCTACGTTTTGGTGAATCAGAGTGGGCTAACCATCACGCACGGCTCTACTAGTCAAGTCACCGTTTATTTACGGCAAGTGCATCTAGGTTGTGGTTCCCCCAACTCCATGTAAGAATTTGTTTAAACACACATGTTAATTTCATACGTGTTTAAGTAAATAAGTTGCGATTGATGAAATCCATCTACTCTGACTGCAATGGTTTCAGTAATATGTGTTTTCATGCCCTTAAATGTCCATCCTTGCTCGCAGGATCCACCCACAAGACCTCTTTCTCCCAGACCCTTTGAAGATGTGGTCCAATGTCGAAGTCGTTTTTGGTGTGCTGAAGAGCTCCTGCACTAGCTTTCCATGAAACAAAACATGACAAAACACGAGTTTTCCATCAGAAAGCCCCATCCAGTGACCCAACTGGAGCCCCTGTGCTGAGGAAGAGTGTCACTTTGATGCAAGGGGGGCGGTGGGAGCTCGGGATCGGCTCGGCGAGCCAGTGCGAACACCACAATATCCTCAGCGGTAGAGGGTATCATTGCATTTGTTAACCGGTAGCTCAAAATGTGCGGGAGGCCCTGATTTTCCCATGTCTCAGGAAATTCGCAGGATGAGAAGATGACAGGATTCTGAGAAGGTGCTCCTTGCCTTGGCCACTTCATTGCTTGCAATCTCTCCAACAATCATGGAAGTGGAACTAGTCCGGATTTGGGAGTGAAACTTGCCACTTGGCACCTTTGGGTTGGGTTGCAAGTTCCTTGCGCATTGAGGCGCTAGTGGCTCTTTCTATGAGACCTCCTCGAATGGTGATAGGAGGCTGGCTGGCGAAGCTGCGAAGCAGGGAAGTCGGAAGCACATTTGATATGCTTTGGGTCATCGCACCTGACCTGAAGTGGACCGCTTGGGCGAACAGAATGGTATATACTATAGGCGGCCCTAGTAGTAACAAGTGCCACGCTAGTAGTAACAGGTGCCTTACTAGTAGTAACAAGAAGCTACTAGTAACAAGTGCATCGC